CAGAGTGAGCACAAATAAGCAACTTAATGTTGCACCTCAAGCTTCTAAAAAAAGAAGAGCAACACAAGCCCAAAGTCCATACAAGCTAGGAAATTATAAAGATCAGAGCAGAAATTAACACAATGGAGACTAAGAAAACAATAAAAAGAATCAATGAATTGAAGAGCTGGTTCTTTGAAAGAATAAATAAAATTGATAAATCCTTAGCCAACCTTATCAAAAAAAGGAAAGAAAAAACTCTAATCCATGCATCAAGGAGTGTAAAGGATGAAATCACTATAGATCTTATGGAAATTCAGAAGATCATCAACATCTACTTTGAAAATCTTTACTCTCATAGGACAGAAAACACAGAATAAATAGACAGATTTCTAGATACATATGAATTACTAAAGCTGAATCAAGGAGATATAAAAATTCTGAATAATGCAATATCAATTAATGAGTTTGAAAATGTAATTAAAACCTTATCAACAAAAAAAGCCCAGGTGCTGATGGAATAACTTTTGAATCCTACAAGAAATTTAGAGAAGATTTAGTGCCAAACTCCTCAAACTTGTCAGTGAAATTGAAAGGGAAGCAATACTCCCTAACTCATTCCTGGAGGCAGGTATTACCACAATACCAAAACCAGAGAAAGACCCAACCAAAAAAGGGAACTATAAGCCAATCTCCCTAATGAACACAGATGCAAAAATCCTCAAGATACTGGCAAACAAAATGCAGCAAAACATTAAAAAGATAACGCAGATAATGCATGACCAAGTTAGATTCATCCCAAGGATACAGGGATGGTTCTTTATCTCAATCTGATAAAAGCCATCTATAACAAACCAACAGCCAACATCATACTGAATGGTCAAAAACTGAAAGCTTTCACTCTAAAATCATGAACAAGACAAGGAATCCACTATCACCACTCCTATTCAATATAGTTCTTAAACATTAGCCCAAGTAATTACATGAGAGAAATAAAAGGAATAAGGATAAGAAAGGATGAAGTTCTATCATTATTCACAGATAACATGATACTCTATATAGAAGACCCCAAAATCTCCACCAAAAGACTTCTAGAATTAATAAACAAATTCAGTCACATAGCTGGATACCAAGTCAACACTCAACAATCAATAGCATTCCTGTACCCAAACAACAAACTCACTAAGAGACAAATTAGGGAAACCACACCCTTCACAATAGCATCCAAAAAATGAAATACTTAGGAATAAATCTAACAAGGGAAGTAAAAGATGTATACATTGAAAATTACAGTACTCTGAAAGAGGAAATTGAAGAGGATATCAGAAAATGGAAAGATATCCCTTGTTAGTGGATAGGAAGAAAAAATGTAGTGAAAATAGCCATATTCCCAAGATTGTTATACAGATGTAATGCAGTCCCAATCAAAATACCATTAGCATACCTCACAGACCTACAGAAAAAATCCTAAACTTCATGTGGAACCAGAAGAGGCATAGAATAGCAAAAGCAATTCTGGGCAACAAAGGCAAGGCAGGAGGTGTCAAAATCCCTGACTTGAAATTATACTACATAGCTACTGTGATAAAACCAGCATGGTACAGACAAAAAAAAAAACAGACCTGAGGATCAGTGGAACAGATTAGAAGATGCAGACACAACTACAAACACACTTAGCCACCTTATCCTTGACAAAGGGGCCAAACATATTCACTGGAAGAAAGATAGCCTCTTTCATAGATGGTGTTGGGGAAATTGGCTGTCTACATGCTGAAGAATAAAACTAGACTCATGTCTATCAACATGCACTAAACTAAAGTCAAACAGGTCAAAAATCTAAATATTAAAACAGAAACACTAAATCTACTGGAAGAGAAAGTAGCTAAAAATCTTGAAGACATAGGTGTAAGCAGACAGTTCTTGAATAAAACCCAAACAACAAACTCACTAAGAAAGAAATTAAGGAAACCACCCCTTTCACAATAGCATCCAAAAAATGAAATACTTAGGAATAAATCTAACAAGGGAAGTAAAAGATGTACACATTGAAAATTACAATGGATGTATACATGGAAAATACTTCAAAGAATCAACAACTGGGTTCTCATTTATTAAAAAGTTTTGCACACCAAAAGAAATCACCAACAGAGTAAAAAGACAACCCATGGAGTGGGAAAAAATTATAGCCAATTGTCCCTCAGACAAAGGACTTATATCTAGAACATATAAAGAATTGGAAAAAAATCAGACCACCCAAATTCAAAGCCCTAATCCAAAAATGGGCATCTGAGATGAACATACACTTCTCAAATGAAGAAACACAAATAGCAAATAAATATATGAAAAAATGTTCAACATCATTGGTCATTCAAGAAATGCAAATTGAAGCAGCATTGAGATTCCATCTCACTCCAGAAAAAATGGCTATCATCAAGAACTCAACCAATAACAAACGCTGGTGGGGCTGTGGGGAAAAAAGAACGCTTCTCCACTGTTGGTGGGTGTGTAGACTGGTATAACCACTGTGGAAATCAGTGTGGAGATTCCTCAAAAAACTAGGATTAGATCCCATTCGACCCAGCTATTCTCCTTCTGGGTATCTTCCCAGAAGAATTAAAAACATCATACCACAGCGATATATGTATACCCATGTTTATAGCAGCACAATTTGTAATAGCTTAATCCTGGAAACAATCCAAATTCCCATCAACCGAGGAATGAATGAAAAAGATGTGGTATTTCTTTACAATGGTGTACTACTCAGCTATAACAAAGGATAAACTTAAGTCTTTTATAGACAAATGGATGCAACTTGAGGCTGTACTCATAAATGAAATAAATTGGACTCACATGTGCAAACATCATATGGTCTCCCTAGTGTGAGAAGCTGAAAGGGTAAATAAGATCCAAAATGTACAATAGATATTGTCAAATGGGAAGAAACTTCAAGAGGAAAGAGAAACTGGGTTGGGGAAAAGGAGAAAAGAAGGAAGGGAAAAGGAAAAATATATATATACATATATACACAAGACAGTTAAAATAGTTATACTACTAATTTCTATTAGTTCATTGAAAAGAAAGGTTTGTGCTTATATTGTCTGATCAATTTTTCATGCCTATCTCCTAATCTGAGCACCTACTTTGAAGATAACAATACGCAATGTATTAACAATTGTTACTCTCCTATCTTATTTTGAAATTGTGTATCATTGTTTTTATTGGGTATTTTTCTCTTTAAGATAAAAAAAGAAATGTTTTTAAACTGGACAATGCACTCCTTTTCACTGACCTCATAGAACATAGGGACTGCAATAACGAGAATAAACTTGGGCTTTCTTCAGCTGAATCTAATGTATCAATGACAACAAACACTTGGCTACCACGGGCAACAAAAGCTAGGAGTTTCACTTACATAACATTGTGTGGTCAAAAAGAGGCCTACTGGCAGGAATATACTGCTGGGACTTGTTGCTAGGCATTCAAACCTATGTTAAGAATTAACTGAAAGGAAAGGAAGGGAATGAGGAAGACAAATTCAGCATAGGAAAAGCAGATCCTTGAAAGCTGGTTGAGGGAACCAATTGCTCCTAGACCCGTAAGCCCAGCTCAGACCCCTCTCTGGAGTCACAGAAGCAAATTTCCAAGTGAATTTTGCATATTGTCTAATGTGGTGAGACTCTGGCCAAAGCAGTGATCGAAGTGAAAGTGACAAGGAAGGGACCTTGGACTGGGCATGGTGGTGCGTGTGTGTAATCCCAGCACTCAGGAGGTTGAGGCAGGAGGATTGCCAAGAGTTTGAGGCTGGCCTGGGCTGTATAGTGAGTTCAAGACCAGCCTGAACTACATAGTGAGGCCCTACAAAACATATATAAAAGGAATGGCCCTTGGAACATTTCCCAGGCTTCTAGAGTGCATAAAGTTTAGGACAGATCTGCAGAACAGCAGTGAGCAGAATTAAAAGCAAGTTATTCAGTATTCTCAGAGATGTTTGCTTTGGCCATTGTGTTCCTCCTGCCCTCCAATAAGCTTCCTGCTCAATAAGCTTGCTTAAAATAGGTTCATTTGACATGTGTCACATAAAAAAAAAAAAACATCCCATTTCTTTCCCTGTCCCCTGACCAAAACTCCTATACAAATGTTATGAATATTTTTCTTCTGCATCTTTGTTCTCATGTCCTTGAGTTACACATGAATAACCACAGAGGTCTCAGCTTGCTGCTATTTCCCAGAAGCATTCCCATGCAGAGAAGCAGCCTCTCTGGGCCTCTCGGTGATTGAACTAAGTCTCCTCTCCAAGTTATCGTCACATCCCTTACGCCAGCCACCAAGGTCAAGTACTTCAAACTCTACCCTGTTTCCTGCCGGAACCTGCTCCAGTCATTCAGGCAAAACAGGAACACTGGTTGCTTGACTACTGCCTCACCACAGTGGCCATGGAAACATGTCCCGCAGACCTTCAGCTTCAGGGAGCAAAGTAAACTGACATGCCCCAGCTGACGTTTCTTCGGGCCCACCTCTGAGTTTGCCCCAAGCTCAGGCTTCCTCAGGGCAGCTCCCAGTCAGGCCTGGGGACAAGGCCTCCTCTGGCTGACATCTGTAGGGTGTGGCATTCACTACAGCACCACTGACTGAAACACTGTCGCAAGTAAACTTCATCTGCCTTTCCTATGCCACCCTCCCTTTACCCTCAGGGTCTCTGCCAGCCACCAGGCCTGTGTGGCACTCTGACAACCCCCCCCCACAGCCTCCCCTTGCTCTGTCCTTTCCTCTTTCTTGCTGCACAGCTCTCCTTCATGAACAATCACCTGTTGGCCTCTGAACTTTTTTTTTTTTTTTTGGTTTTGGTTTTTCTCCGGTACCGGGAACCGAACTCACGACCTTGCGCTTGCCAGGCAGGTGCTTTGCCGCTGAGCTAAATCCCCAGCCCCGGCCTCTGAACTTTTGAAGGACTCATCCTACCAAGAGTGGTCCCAAGAATGGTCTGAGAAAAAGAAGTAACCTGCCTTTCAGAACCAGCTCACTCACGAACAGAATGACAAAGAGGATGCCATCCTGCGTGCTGCATGGGGCACGGATAATCTCCAGCATGAGCTGACCCCCCGGGTGATTGTTCCAGGTGTCAGCCTTATTTACGTAGGAAGCATCCCAGGGGAGGCTCTCAGTCTTGTGAGTGAGATGATTCAGCCCACTGTAGGGAACGGAGGGGAGAACCTCCACACAAGACGTCAGAGGCGGCCAGTGATTGCTGTTACACTGTGGTCCTGCAGAGAGGTGATGAGAAACAAAGGGACATTGCCAAACTGTGCAGGGTGAAGTGGAAGACCCAGAAGGCCACCTGGGTGGCTTACAAGGAGGCCCGTACCCGCTACAGAAGCTGAGCAGATAAAACGGAGGAGCATCAGGTCAACATGATTTCACAGCCAGAGGTGATGAACTCCAGGGACGTTTATACCCCTAGCTAACACAGGCCCGCCTATTATGCAGGTTGGAGCCCTGTTTAGAACCATCTCAGAGGCGGTAATGAGGATGGGGAGAGATGGGGATGGATGGACATCCCTGAGGATGCTGGTTTCCCAGACTTCACATACCCTGAAACATTGGAGCTTACAGGGCACACTTGCTTCCCTAGCAGGAGCAGGAGCCCTGGGCTAGTAGACGCTAGTGTCCCCTTCCCATAAAGCCTCATGTCCCTCCCTTGGGGCCACCCCGTCTCTTTTCCAATATCTCACTGGGTAATGCAGAGACTCATGAGCAAATAAAGGGGGTATATGCCAAGGAAGTGGGTATTGGCGAGGAAGACCGCTCCTGTACTTGCAAGAGCCACAGCATAGCTCTGGATTGGATGTGGAGGGTGCGGGATCAAGGGAGCTAGAATACAAGATAGCATAAGTGAGTTTTGCTGAATGTGTGGTGGGGTATATCCCCACATCCTGGCAATCAACTTGCTGGCAAGGACTCCAGGAGACGGAGGAAATTTGCTGGCCAGGGTGACCCCTGTAGGCTTTGAGGAAGAGATGGTCCACGTGGAGTAAAGTGGAAGTGCCTTGTTCCTTCCTCCCATCCCCAAGTGGATCATTGCCAGTGATACACTTGGCAATTGGAGTGTGCTTAACTCCCACCTTGGGTCGCTGATCTGTACAGTAGGAGCTACTGTGATGGCGAGGACTGTGCGGAACTCCTGAAACTGGATCCCAGCCCAGCTCAAGAAACTAAGTCAAAAAAAAAAAAAAAGAAACTAAGTCAAAACCAACACTAGATACAGAAGATTCCAGTATGGGCAGAGATTTGTGCCTCCATTTCAGACCTACAGGACACAGAGGAAGAGGAGGTAGAATTGCAGGAATGAAGAGACTGAAGCTCGGGAAAGTTCTAGGACTTTCCATATGAGATAGAGAAGGAGGAAGGCGGTGGAAGTGAAGAGAGAGACATGGCCTGCTTCAACTGGGTGAATCGATGATGCTTAAGACATGCAGTGGGGACAGGAGATTTCACTATACCTGCTAGGATCCTGGTTGGCATGTCTGAAATAATACAGCATGTCAGCAGATCACTTTGGGGAGTGGGAGAGAGTGGTTTCTAGACACAGGCAGTGACTGTGAAGGGTTCACTGGATGTGGATGATCGCAGATGTGTAGTGCACGAAACCTGCCCTGCTCTCTAACCTTCCCCAGCAGGGCAGGTGTCTCAGGTGCAGACCCAGAGAAAGCGAGGCTTTGACATCCCCCTGGCAAGAGGTGAAGACTCTTGCCCACACACTCGAAGCCTGGACATCACCAGAAGAGGATTCCGAACGGAGGGGCGAGGAAAGACACGTGAGTATGAATGGGGAAGTGAGGAAGACAAGTGTGACATGAAGGGAAGGTTGCTGAAGTAGGGTTGAGTGGTAAGCAAGGAACATTCTAGTACTCCGGGGTCTGATACAAACCACGGAAGGGCCACTCCCAAGATATTGGGACTCCTTAGCACAGGGGAGCCGGAAACTGACAGTCTCCAGGAAAATCTGACAAAAAATGGGCACTCCACCATCACTGTGAGGCCCCGCTTACATGTTCATTTTGGCCCTTTGCAACATACCTTTAGGGGCTGGGGATATAGCTCAGCAGCACAAGTGCCTGCCTAGCAAGTGCAAGATCCTGAGTTCGATTCCCAGTACACCCCCCCCAAAAAAAGCAATCTTGAAGTCATTCAACTTGTTAACCCTTTCATTTGTTTAGGGCCAGGGATATAGCTCAGTGGCATAAGCAACAACATACCTTCATGTACACCTATATATAAGTTCAAACAACCTATAACGCTGGTTTGGGTTTTTTAATTTCCAAATGTACATCCAAATCCATAAACTCTTCTGCAACTTCTTGTAGGCAGTCATGAGCATGCTTTTTTTTTTAAATTTTATTTTAAAGAAAAAAAACAAAATTTCAAAATAATGGGAGTAACAATGATTATTAATATATTGCAGATTGTGATCTTTAAATTAGTTACTCAGAGTACAAGATATAGGCATTTAATTTTCCAAACAATATTAGCACAAACCTGAGCATGCTTTTCAAATCTATTAACAGACCCTCCTGGGTCCCTCTGGACAGTCTCTTTTAATCTGCTAGATGCACAGGGCACATTGTATTCTTGCATCCCTTACTGAAGGAACTGTGCCCTTCCTTCATCAGCATTCCCGTGCATATGCTCTTGTACAACACGATCACCACTGTCTCTCCAGAAGATGTACATGACAGCGGTTGCACCTGTCTGAGTCTGTTTCCGCAGTGCTAGAAAAGGTGGTGATAGTAGTTAATCAAACCTAGAACTGTGGAAAGGCCGAGTTATAGTTATCTCCAGTGCCTAGAAGAGGGCCAGGGACACAGTACATGTTGCCTGATTTGCATTCAGTTGGATTCTGCCAAATCACCCCCATCCCAAGTAGCAACCCTCCACACACACCCCCAGCAGAGGTAAAAAGCACCACTAGCTTCATAAGCTCTCCCACGCCTGGAACAGTTAAGCCTTTTTTGTTGTTGCAAATCTGGTATGTGAATACTGGTTGATTATTTTAGTTGGCATCTACAGGATCAGTGGTAGTGGGCACCTTTTGGGGTGTCCAAGACCTTGGGGATCCCGGCTTCTCTGAACTGATCCTGTGAGAGAGTAGGGTGGGGTCTGGAAGAGGTGGGCAAACTCCGGCCCCGCCAATAAATGCCTCAGGCCCACAGCCCCGTGCTGGTTTCATCGCCTGCGGAAAAGCAGCAGTAGCGAGAGATTCCACACGGCTGGCAAATCACGAAACACCTGCTATGTGGCCCTCGGCAGAAAAAGTACAGGGACCACGGATCACTGACTACGGGCTTCCTGTCGGGTCGGTGGTCTTGCTGCGGGTAAAAGGTTCGCAAATCTTTCCTGTGCTGGGTGGTCCACCTCCATCATTACATTGAATCCTCACAAGGCCCTGAGCTACGTGGTCTTATTTCTTATTTCTTCTGCATTATGAATGGGGAACTGAGGCTCAGAGGCCAAGTTCACGTTGAAAAGCACGCGCCCGGCCCGAGGCAACGAGACAGAAAGAGGGGAACCGGCGTCCGAAAGCCAGAAAGCCAGCTTGCGGCCGCCACGCAGAGCCATGCACTAAAGCGGAAAGTAGAGCCGCCACTATGGATCTGGAATCGAGGGCTGGGCGGAGCGGTAGCCAGGCGACGGGCCCGCGGGTTGCTGAGTTGCTGAGGGAGAACCAATGAGAAGGCCGCTTATTGGCATCCAAGTCTCGCGACGCCGCGCGGGGTTTGAGGCGCTCTCCTGTACCACACGTGGTGACGGCGCGCCGGGGTTGTGCCTGTCCCCGCTGCGACGCGGCGACCGTTACCCCTCTAACCGGCCTCCCCGTCTGGCGGCATGAGCTCCCCCAGCGATGTGTCCTCCCCGGGAACCGGTTTCGGCCCGGAGGACAGGAAGCAGTCGGAGTTCCGCCGGGCTGCCCCCTCAACCCCGCGGGCGCAGGACTTGGCCCTCGACGTGGGGCCTCCCCGGAGCGGTGAGGGCGAGGGTGGCGTCTCGGGCCGCAGGGGCGACCGCGCAGCCCGCCCCCTCTATGAGTTCAACCCCGAGTCCGAGGAGGAGGAGCTAGAGGCGAGAGCGGGGGTGCCGTGGGGCTGTGAAGGCCGGCCTGGGTCCCCGGCCGAGGAGGAGGAGGACGCCGCCCGGGGCCTCGTGGCCCCCCTCAGCGTCGAGTGTGCGGCCGGGCTGCGG